GTAAGAAGAAATTCTTAGAGTAGTTGAAAGGTGGGTGCGGTGCTTAATCCGCTACACACAGCTGCCAAGTCACAGTACTCCTATATGCTGATACCAATCATATTATCAGAGCATTGCGTATACTCTATCTTTAACAAGAAATTCAAACGGTGATTCGGCGCACGTTTAACTTGGCGAATTAATAATGTACAATTACGTTGTTACTAGCTGTTGCATATGGATGATCGATAATAGAGCCCCTGACAGAAATAGATTGCATTATAACAGATAAATAAATCGATAGCAGATAAGAAATGATAGTAGATATTATTACACTCTTTTTTTTCTTTTCCTTCTCAAACCACCTGTACAACATCTAAGTAAACGAGTGACAAAAAAGAAACTTTTTTTTTTCGCAAAACTTATTTGCTGATATTAATAATAAACTGACAAAATAATTATAATTAATAAAATCATCGAAAGAAATTATCAAATCGCAGTTTTCTATTTTTAGCATAAACAGATTTTTTTATCCTATAATTTTATATTCCATACTGAAAAAATATATCAGAAATTTTAATGAACATATAAAAACAAATAAAAGTAAAAAAAAAATGATACAAAGATCATTGGGGGAAAATCTTTACTTTAATTGAATAACGAATCTTCAATTAGCAGAAAACTACTCATTCAGTTTTGAACAGTATTATCAAATTTCTTACATATTTTCTTTTCAGCATAAAAGTTCTTCTCTTTAGAAAAGAAAAAAATCATCTGAAATTCTCATTACATATACAAATTTTTTTTTTCTGTCATAAATAAGAATTTCGATATAAATTTATACATGAATGATATATTTTATCATTTTATATAAATTAATACACCTTAATTACAACAGGTGTCTTGATGATCGAGACTAAAACCGTTGCGTAACGGGAAAAGAGATTCAAAAACCTTACACACAAGATACGTAATAACCTTCCAAGAAGTAGTGCATCTATATCTCGATATATGAAATTTAATCGTTTTCGCACATTGATATACAAAACGAGAGTTATGTATATAACATATATACATACATTTATGTATATAAGTATACATTTATAAGATTTATGTTTATACATACAGTAATAGAAGAATTATAGAATAGTATAGAAGATTTTCGATTTGATATATAAAAAATTAATATAATCAGCTAAGCAGTTCATATTCACAAGGATCATCAATATTTTATTCTCAAGTTCTCATCAAATTTAAAGATAGATTTTTCAGAAGATCAAAATTTTTCTAATTTGAACTCTTTCTATTGAATTAAGGGCATGCGTAACTATTAGGTCACGTGATTCCACATTGCAGCTTCATGGAGTTGCTCTCTAAATTTGAATTACAGGGTTGCCACAAAAATTGAATTGTGTTTTTCCCTGACAGACAAAATTTTGACTTTTTTCTTGACCCAAAAAAGAATATTCTGATTCACTCTAAAAATGATTAGATACTCGAAAAAAATGTTCTATTATATTTATTTACGAATTTCCCTAATTATCAAATTATTCAAAAACAACAATAACTTAATAAAATTCTTCTTTAAATCAATTATTTTTAATAATTATTAAAAAAGTTCTTCTTTGAGAATTTTTAAATCCATTTTTGTTTACAATTCAATTTTAGGTGAAATTTTGATTATTCGGAAATTCTTCAATTTTTTTTCAAAGATTTTAATTGGAAACCTCTACAAAATTCAATTATTTCTCAAAATTGCAATTATTAGTAACTTCTCCAAAATTCAATTATTGTCTAAAACTTTAACTGAAAGTAATTTTTAAATTAATTTTTAATAGAAAATTATACGAGAATTCAATTATTTAAATACAAACATAGATAATGTATTGAATATTTCTTAAAATTAAATTATTTCGACGAATTTTAAAAAAACATTTTTAAGAATAATTATATTTTTCGAGGAATTCAATTAAAATTTATTGTATTAAAAATAATTGAAATTCTAATATTAATATGAAAATAATTGAACTATTGCAAACAATTGATTTTTTCGAGAAAATTTTTGCAAATTCTATTTTTATTTTTTAATAATTGAATTCCTGTGAAATTTTCAATTATTTTAGAAAATAAATGAATATTCGTGTAGAACTTTGTCAAAATTGTTTTTAAATACTAGAATTCTTTTGGGAAATTTTATTAAAATAATACATATGCAAATTAATAAATTAAAAAAGAATTTTGGAAATAATTGAAATTTTTGAATGAATTTTATTAAAATTTTTGAAAATAATTGAATTTTATTACTTTGAAAAAAAATTAATTCTTTTGATGAATATTGTTATTTATGGAAATAATTATGCCTTCCTCCAAATGCTGTTATTATTTATGAAAATAATTGAAATACTGCGAAGAATTTAATTTTTTGAACATAATTGAATTTGTGCGAAGAATTTTATTAATTTTTGAAAATAATTGAATTCTTGTGATGCATATTGTTATTTATAAATATAATTGAATTTTGCAATTAATCTTATAAAAATTCTTGAACGTAATTCAATTTATGCGAAGAATTTTATTAATTTTGAAAATAATTGAATTTTTGCAATGAATATTGTTATTTATGAAAATAATTGAATTACTGCGAAGAATTTAATGACAAATTTTATAACATTATTGATTTTTTTTAATAAATTTATGCAAATTCTATTTTAAATAATTGAATTCCTGAAAATTTTTTATTTTTTTGGAAAATAATTGAATATTTGTGTAGAATATTATCATAATTTTTGTTTTAAAATTAAATTTTTTTTGGGAAATTTAAGTAAAATAATAGAATATTGAAAATCATTGAATTAAGAACATTGTTCGAGAATAATTGAAATTTTGCCATGAATTTTATTAAAATTTTTGAAAATAATTGAATTCTTGTGACGAATACCTACTATTATTTATAAAAATAATTGAATTTTGTAATGAATTTTATTAAAATTCTTGAATATAATTAAATTCCGACGAAGAATTTTGCTATTTATAAAGATAATTGAAATGTTGAAGAGAATTTATTTTAAATTTTTGAAAATAATTAAATTTCTGCAAAGAATTTTAATGTTTATTAAGATAGTTGAATTCTTTTGAAAGAATTGCGTTAAAATTTTTAAAATTGAAGCCAATTTCAACAGAATTGAAATTAAAATTTTTAAAAAATACTCCATTAAATGATTTATAAGTATTAACTTTATGGCAGTTCTTCTATAGAATTAAGTTATTTTAAATAAATTATTGCCAGAAATAAAAAAAATTTAAGTTTTTTTTAGAATTAGTGGTAATTTCATAGTTTATGAGGCAAACAAAAAGACACAAAAATTCATAATTTTCTCCTGACCTGTGGCAACCCTGAATTAGTAAAAATATTAACTAATTTGAATCAGTGACTGACTTTTTTTGCCTTTGAATTAGTAAATTGCTTCCTCCTGGCGGAAGGATTGTATTTTACTATTAAATCAGTAGGGATTTATTTATTTATTAATAAAATTTATTAATTCAATAGCAAAAAATCACTCTCTAATTCAATAGCAAAAAGTTACTCATTAATTTAAAATAGTAAACAATTTTAATAATTCAAATTCAGAGAGTAAAAATTAGTACAAAAATTATAGTAACATTTACTTCGAACATAGTAAAATTTACACAATATAGTATAGAATTTGACAAAAATATTCTATTCTTCTTTATTTTAATAAAAATCACCCCCAAGCTCCATAAATATCTATACGTATATTACAGAAAAAATATATAAAAGTAATTTACAAGCGGATTTCTCTCACATCGAATTACTTTTTTCAAGTGTTCAAAGTGTATACGAAATGGATTGCATTGTTCAAGGGGAATACTGATTGCACGTGTAACTGCATACCTTAACCATCCCCCCTTCGAAATATTTCCCTCCCACCTCCCCTTATTTTTTTTCTTTTCATATTCCCTTCTGCTAATATACAAGCAGATGAAAGCGCCAATTGCAAATGCCAACTATAAGTTCTCTCTGTCAGTTTCAGATTGTACTAAGTCGCTATTATTGGATAGCTGTCAAGTTTTTCTTATACATTAAAAAAAACGATGACAGTTACTGTCGATAAAAGCCTTTTTTTCGTTTCATCGAGAATAATGTATTTTTATTTCTCTCTACATTTTTTTTTAACCGTTTAGAAAGGAAATAAAAATACGAGAAAAAAAATTTTCTACTCAGTGGGAAAAATTAACACGATTAAATGATTACTTATCTATTGTCAAAAAAATATTTACTCGAATCAAATAAATATTTCTGTTTCGTAAATAAATATTTATTCGTATCAAATAATATTTTTTCGTAAATAAATATTTATTTGTATCAAATAAATTTTTTTTCGTAAATAAATATTAATATGATTCAAGTAAATATTTATTTGTGAATTAGTCCTTTCAGGAATACATAAAAAAAACAATTTATTGGTTTTTTGAATCAAATAAATTTTTTCTCAGTGCACACGTTTTTGGTGAAAATAAAACCCCTCGCACGTAAGCTCTAATGTAATTATAAAAAAAAAATACAACCCCTGATAATGACATTAAAACTTGTTCACATTAAATTAGGACTAAATTTTCTTTAGTCGAAAAAAAATCCCCTAAAATTCATCTCCCTAAAAGTTCTTTCGAAAATAGAAAATCGATGCTATTATATAGTATTACTATATAGGTTAATTAATTACCAACAGATTGAAATGTAGGTCATTGAACAATTATTATATATTGTTACTGCTTTATTGTTCGGATACTTAATATCAATTTCGCTTTATTAGATTACTTTTAATCAAGTATCAATTTTCTCTCTAGTCAATTTTTTTCTCCAAAGTAAGAGCAAAAATAGAGATATACTTTTTCACACATGTTATCTCTTAATCTTTATAATAGTAATTAGAAAAAACATCTTAACTTGTAAGATATTGAATTGATAAATTCTACAGCTAATACATAATAAAAAATCTTACCTTATTTAGATGAGTCGTTGAATCCGCGAAAAGATATAAACAGAAATTTTTTCTTTCAAATCTGCAAAGGAAAAACAAAAAAGACTTCAAAAACTGATGAAAAATGCAAATAAAATTTAGAAACAATAAATATAAAAGCAATAAATAGTTTATAAAATAATGTAAACAGAAAAAGAATTGACTTTCTGTGGAAAATTTTGTTTTTTTCAAATAATTCAATTCTTCATAAGATTTTTATAAACATTGTTTTGAATAATTAATTTTTCGAAATATAATAAATATTATGAAAATTTTATTTTATACAATTGTAATCTTGTGGGAAACTTTATTTGTGAAAATAATTGAATTTTTCGATTTTATTAATTTAAAATAGTATTAAAAATAATTGAAATTCTTCGATGAGTTTTATTATTCATGAAAATAATTGAATTCTTATTTAGAATTTTATGAAAATTTTTTTTAAATAATTGAATTTCCATGAAAAATGTTTCTATTAGTGAACATAATTGAATTATTGTGAAAAATTGTAAGAAATTTTGTTGAATAATTGATTTTTGCGAGATTTTTTTGAAAATGTTTACGAAAAATGAGTAAAATTTATAAATTTTAATAATTTCTAAAAATTAGAATTATAATCCTTTCTGAATTAAAATATTTTTTACAATTTTCAACTAAACTTCATCTCTGAATAAATTAATTTAAATAATTTTCCAAAAGTTCTTCTTGAATTCAATTATTTAAATGCATAAACTCAATTTTTTATAAACGATAATAGTTTTTCAATTTTGAAAAATTTCCAAACCATTAAAATTTGGTAAAATCTTTTAAAAATAATTGAATTTTTGAAAAGTATAAATAAAAATGATGAAATTTTTAAAAAATTTTAACTATAAACAGGACCATGATTTATTAAAAATTTTAATAAGTCCGAAAATTAAATTTTGAATCTTAAAAGATTATTACAAAACAATTCTAATAATAAGTTTTTAAAAATATTTTAATAATGTTATTTTTCGAAAATAATTGTATTTCTTAAAAGAATTTTTGTATAATTTCAAAAAACTAATGATTTTTTTCGTGAATTTTAATTAAAAATTTTGAACATTATTGTTTTCTCTAAAATGTTAAAAATAATTCTAAAATGTTATTATTTTTGGAAATATGTAATTGAAAATTACATATATGTAAATATTTAAAATATTGAATTTTAAAAAATTAGAGGCTTATTTCCATTTTTAAATTTACCTTTAAACGATTTTTCATTAAAATTTTTGATAATTCAATTATTTTCAAAATTTGCAATTAAAATTCTTCAAGAGTTGATTTTCAAAAATTGGAACAAAATATTTGAAATAAATTAATTATTTTCAATTAAATTTTACAAAATTTTAACTATTCAACAAAATTTTTTGATAATTCAATTATTTTCAAAATTTGCAATTAAAATTCTTGAAAAGTTGATTTTCAAAAATTGTAACAAAATACTTGAAATAAATTAATTATTCTCAATTAAATTTTACAAAATTTTAACTATACAAAAAAAATTTTTGATAATTCAATTATTTTCAAAATTTGCAATTAAAATTCTTCAAAAGTTGATTTTCAAAAATTGTAACAAAATACTTGAAATAAATTAATTATTTTCAATTAAATTTTACAAAATTTTACCTATTCAAAAACAATTTTTGAAATATTTGTTTGTAGCTATTTTTTGCATTATAAAAATCAAAATAAGTTGCACTTTTTTTTACTAAAAATTGTGGTATTTTGTTGCAATTTTTGGAAGAAAAGTCGAAAAAGTCACAATTTTCTTAATTTCCCTGACAAAAATTTTTTTTATGACATTTATAACGAGAAATTTGTAGAAACCCTGATTATTCATTTTTAAATGACACAAAATATTTCGGTAATGATTGTTCTCTTTTTAATTAATTTCGTTTGTGAGCGAATTTTCATGCCGTCTAGGCGTCAATTTGGTGAACTATATTGGCGCGAAATTCAAATAATTGTAACGTTAAAAATTTTTTAGTGAAATAATCAAAAATGTATTTTTACAAATTTATGATACATTTAAAATGAATGAAAAAAATTAATTTCATATTCAATATTTTATTTCGACATAATCGATATAATAATTTAAATGCGCGAGGACTTAAATGGATTTTTATTGGTATTAATTAAGATTTTGATGAAGAGATAAAAATATGAATAAATAAAAGAAAAAAGAAGATACAACCAAAAAAGAATAAAAAGAAAAAAAAAGAAGAAGAAGAAGAAGAAGAAGAAGAAGAAGGACCGCCTATGCTTGAAGCATAATTTTACTTGACTGATTTAGGTCGACTACGAATGTATATAAGTGTATGTGAATGTGTGTGTGTGAAAAAAGCACTGCGGCTGCTGATTAAAAGCAGTATGGAGCTCGTTTTACCAACAACGTGTGCATATAGGTATAGATACACCTCGTATGTCTTTATTTCGTAACTGTTCCAGAGGACGAATGGTCATTTGATATTCCGGCAAACACCCTGTGGGTACCTCAAGTCCGCATTAAAAATTTATGTGTTGCCTCTTTTGCCTTCATTTTGTCTTTCTTTTTCCCTTCAACTTGCATTCGAATCGCCTTTCAATTGTCAAGCCAACTAATTAATGGCTGCATCTGAAATATATAACCCGCGAAAAACCCGCCTTCATTCACATCTGCGTATTATTTATATATTTACCAATTGAAATTACAAACCGCAAAAACAATCAAAAACGAAGGAAAGAAAAAACATTTTAAGTTTCTATCATTTCGATTAAAAAAAAATCCCCTAAAATTTCATGCGCATACAGAAATGATAAAATACTTTTATTTTGGGATTTCTAATTTTTATTCTTTGTATTTCTGATTTGTATTTCTAATTTGTATACAAATTAGAAATACAAATAAGAAATACAAAGAATAAAAATTAGAAATCTAAATGAGAAGTAAAAATAAAATTTCACACCAAATAGGAACAAAAATAAAAAATTAATAAATATGAGAAATAAATAAGAATGTGAGAAGAAATAAAAGTCTATAGTGGAAATGAATAGTTTTGTGTTGAAAATAAAAAATCAATTTTTCAGAAATCCTTTTATAAGAAGATAGAAAAATACAGGAGTGAAAAATAATAATTTATCAGACTTTAGCGATTACGAAAAAATTCACGTGCAATTTATTTTTCATCTATCGCAAAACTCTTAGAAAGCGCAGTCCATCTTGTCTCCGGGGGGGCAAATCCTGTTCCGGTAAGAAAGGAGTCCTTTCACCTGAATTCAGGATAAAAACACAAACTACAAACTTAAATCAAAGAAACAAAAAGTGATCACAACTCGTATGGATATAAAAATAAAAATAAAAGAAGCGATTTATTTATATCGAAAATTAATAGCCAAGAAAACGAAAGAAAACTCTTGTGTTCATTTTGTACGCTTTGAAATTAATGATCCATTCAAATTAGCAAAACTTTTTCTTATTTTTTTTTATTCGTAATTTCCCCATGTGTAAATATCAATCAAACCTTTTTTGTTGTAAGGTCAAAATTTATCAAAAATAAATAAAATTCTGTTTTCCTTATAAAATGAACTAAATTTTTCTAATCAATTGACCAAATGTGAGATAAGATAAGAAAAAAGTACTTTATACAAAGCAATACTGACATAATAATTAAGGAAATCACATAATATCGTTTGGTGATGTTATTAAATTTATAAAATTGTGATTCATCAGAATTCATTACATTTATATATATATATATTCAATTAAATGAAAATAAAATATTTCAAAACAACACTTGTTATAACAGAAAAATAAAAATACAAAGTTGGCAATTTTTTCCTCTATATACTTTTAGCGGACAATAAATGTCCTTCTGTGTAATTTTATCAAAAGGCGTAAAAAACGCAAACATTAAATAATTTTGCAATGACAGAAATTAAAAAAATTACAACAAAACTACATTTTAATTATAAATTATTTAATTTTTATTAATTTTATTAATTTAATTATAGGGTAGGGTGGGGCATTACTATTCTTGTTTGGATTTTTGAGTCTATAAAATGTATATAAAAAAAAATAAAAAAATGAGTAGAACCGTTTGAAAGCTTGACTTCTTAGCTACAATTTTGCCATGTATCATTTTGCTGTAACTCGATTCTGTTCCGAACTACAGCGATTTTACGAAAAAAAAATTTTTTTGATGTCGAAAAAAACGAGGGGCGTAACTATTCTTGCAGCTATTAATGATATAATACTAAAAAAATATATAAATTAATTTGTTAATTGGAGGATTTTTTCTGGTTTTTTTCTTCCAATTTCTTACAATTCTAACCTAGAAACAAGCACACACAAAAAAATACACTGTTTTGTAGTTTTTGCTGTCATCAGTGGAAGAATAGTTACGCCCCATCCGCCCATTTTTTGAAAAAACACTTGTAAAATTTTTGAACAATAGAATATCAAAAATCCATTATGATATTCGTGTTCAGCACTAAATTTGACTTTAGAAATAATTTTTCCGATAATTTTTCCGACCGTTTATCACTATTTACAATGGCAGACTAAATGAGTGAAAACAAGTAAGCGAGTATATCAAAATCACATTTGGGTACCTAACTCCAATGATAGATGGCGCCAGAAGCTCAAATGTGGCGTACAATGTTCATTTCACATGACAAGTATACAGTGTAAAAAAAACTTTAATCGGATGAATAGTTTTCTCTCCAGGACAAAGAATAGTTACGCCCCGCGAATAGTAATGCCCCACCCTACCCTACTATTTAGTTTAAAAGTTTATAAAATTTTGTATTATTTAAAAAAAAATTTAATAAAATTGTATGTAAACACTTAATTATTTTCATAAATAATAAAAATTTCACAGGACATCAATTATTTTCATAAATAATAAATTTTTTTTAAGGAATTCAATTACATATTATTTTCATAAAAAATAATTTTAAATTCTAGAAAATAATCATTGAATTAAAATGATGAAATTAAAATGATTAAAATGATGAAAATAATAATTGAATTAAAATAAT